CTATGCGTCTCCTAGCGCTTAGCTGTAGTCGCTTATGTAGTATGTTACCATATTTGGGACTCTCTGCTCGTGTACTATAGCTATGCTTCCGGACTCTTCTGGCACTGTCTAGGACAATCCGTACTACTCCAGAACGGTCTAGACAGGTCTATGCCTTACTCATCTCTTACTCATCCTATGGTGCGATACGTCGCAATTCTTTCACCATCGTATTATTCATCGCACTATGGTACATGTGACTAACCACTCTTTGATTAGTCATGGACACTTCTCTGTAGTATATAAGGACTTCAGATTGCGTCCTCCCTCTTCAGTCTTTCCTTACTGACTGAAGAGTGAGTACTTCGTTACCTTTACCTCTAACTTGTAGTTACTTACTCAACCTTTGTAGTCTTGCTTCGACTCTAGGTACAGTTGGTTGCTGCAATATAGTCTTTCCTTACTGACTGAAGATCTTGCTTCGACTCTAGTCGGATCTAATCGTTGTCTTCACAGCCCCGAGTTTATCACTTCGTGCCGACCGCCGCTCTGCTCCGTCGAGTTTTCTGATATGTTTATCCCTCTTACCCTCTCTTCTCCCCTTTCGGCTCCTCGCCGCTCACCTACGAGGTCGTCGCCGAATGACGACCCGAGTCTACGCGCCTAGTCGCCGCGACATATAGCGCCCGTGAACCGTATATAAACCGAGATCTGTATGTACAAACTCCAGCGTTCAATTGAGACTCTCATAACCTGTCAGTACCTCGAGCGAACCTCTCTGATTCCCTCTCGTGACGCGCCACCTACCCCTTCGGGCCAGCGAGCGCATCATGGAGGCATGCCAATAAAAGTTGATAGTTGATCCTCGAGAGATTTGTGTACGAGGCGACGCTGTCAGATGGCAAGCTTACACAGGTAATTTGAAGACCGGGAACTGGGAGGCGGATGATTCAAGAATTCATAGACTACGTTTATGCATTCAACGCCATACTGTTTTTGGGTGTTGGGGCTCATGAGCATGTAGCATTCGGCGCATGTAGTGATCGCGTCGAGGTATGACATCAGAGCTCCGAAGTCCCAGTCTGGCTTTGATGGCTCCGCGTCCGCCTTTTCCGCTGATTTGACCACCTTGATAATGACTTGGCTGACTGGAGAACCAGTCAATACGACATGAAAAGGCACTTCATGCATACAAACTTACCGCTGTGACTCATACTGTCGTCTGGCATCTCCTCTAAGTTGTGAGCATACGAGATTGCAAAGCGGAGGCTTGTCCAACTGGGACTGTCTGCAGTCGGTGATTCGCCACATGCATTCAGTCGTATTGGAATCGCACGCTTAATCAAAGCAGAGTATGTGCCCTTTATGTCTTGCGGAAGGAACACCGGCGAAGAAAGGCGATACTGGTCCTGCAGCCTCTCCCAAATTTTGTGGATGAACTTGTCGACGAGTTCATTGGATTCCAGGTCGGTTAGGAAGGCTTCCGCTTGCCACAAGCAATCGGCCTCTAGAGTCCTCGTGCATGCTTCCAGAAGCATGTCGCTGTTAAGGTAGTTTGGGTGCTCAGCTAAGTTGATTGACTCTTGGCGACTTTGGGAGTTCATGTAGGCCCTACCCCGTGTCCACGTCATGCAAAGCAAGCTGTTGGTGAAGTCGAAAGGAATGATGAGTGAAATCCGCAGGACATTCAAGCGAGGTGCAAGGATGTTCTGTAGTTTCTTTAAGCCCTCGGCAGGACGAGCTTCCAAAGCGCCATGGTCGTTAGTGGTGGACGCGGGAGGGCCCTGGGTGCCCTCGGCGGCGCCTTTCAAGGCGAGAGAACCTTCCGAAGAGGTTGGAATAGACTGGGGAGGGGCGTCCTGAGGGACATTGGTGAGCGTAGGGGTTCCCGCCGGGGAAGGCTTGCTGGCGGCGCCGTCAAAAGTGGGAGAGGCTTTTGAAGAGTCCGGAACAGACTGGGAAGGGGCATTCTGAGGGGCTTGTTTCGCGGATTGTGAGGCAGGGGTGGTAGAGGTATCCTTTTCACTACTCTTCCGAGAACATTCGGCATCGCGGGAGGTCCGCGAACCCAGAAGGAAGTAAGTGGAGACCAAGGCCACACCCGTGATGACAAGGGGACCCATCCCCGTGAGGGCGGCAAAGATCACGGCGAGGAGTGCTATTTCGATGGCGAGGACAAAAATGCATGGAAGGAAGATAGGAAACGATGTGAGACAGACCCAAACGAGTTTGCAAGCAGCAGCTTGTGGTGACCCATAGGAGCAGTTTTCGAACCATACCGGGAGGAGGGTCGTACCAGCTAGGAAGACGCCTAGTGCAGCAGCAGGTACCGCTACAACGAGCGCGAGCGTTTGGTGGAGATGGAAGCTAAGTAAGGTTAGGCCAGCGGGGAAAAGGATGAGCGCGATGAGGAGGAGAACAGGAATAGCTGCAACGAAGGATCGAACGTGCCACCGTTTCAAGTTGTTCAGCCTGTACTGTCTTTGTCGAACGATCTGGCGGGAGTGTCCGTACAGTCCGGTGGCGTATTGCTTCAGCCACTGCTTGACGACTATCCCGATTGTTTCAGCGAAGAGACTGAGTACCAGACCGGTGAACCAGAGCGAGTTCAGCCACACGACATAATGGTGGAGATGGGGCGGTGACTCCGATGCAGGGTGAAGGGCGCCAAAGGAAGGTTGGGTGGAATTGATGAATGGTGAACTAATTGAGAGGCTCGAAAGCTGAGCTGAAATCTGCAGGAGTATGGCAGAGGTCTGGTCGGCTGGGGCTGGCTGTAGGAGTGGATACGTCGCAACATTGAACGTGGTGAGAACTGCTGAGAAGAGAGCAGCCTACATAGCATCGACTGGTTATTACATTACGTCTACACATAAAGAAAGCAGCCACTTACGAAGGTTAGCAGCCCATCAATCTCTTTGTTCCTGTCACAGTTTTCTCGTGCCACGTGACCTGGGGGTCATGTGAACCAGGACAGACGCTCACCTCGACCACGGACAACTCGTATCGGAAAGTGGAGGAGCC